GGATTTAAGTGCCACAAAGCTTGGAGCAAATTCTGTTTACACTTATCTACACTGTGATGAGATGTTCACACAATGTTAAAGAATAGAAATAATTATATTACAATATCTAACACACTATATATAGAATATAAATGTGTATATAAGTATATACATATAAGTAAACAATAAAAATATAAATATAATAAGAGACTATAGTATATGTAAGTGCTGAATATTTACATTTGATACTTTAAGGACATTTTCATTTACATTTACTGAATGCAGGGCCATAAACAGTCTTTAAAAATGATTTTTTTATTCACTTTAAATGACTAAACATCTTAGTAGTATAACATGACAGGCTTGCTAGCAGCTGCAGTCAAATTTGTGTTCTGTTCCTCAGAGATCCATTTATAAAGTAAGCCGGCCTTTCTTAATACGGGAGGTTTCTGTTGCAATGCTAAAATACAAAGTCACTGTAATTATACTGAACACAGATTAACTCATTCCTAAATTCAGAATTAATTTCTAGGCTATAATCGCTTCAGAAAAGGTCCATAAAGAAACTAAGCTGGAGTTTAACCTTCAGACTCAGATCAGGTGAGAAAACATATGAGTTGTCCTCACGTATCTTATCTCATTCTGTGCTTATCTTGTAAATACTATTTAAATACATAGATGTTTAAAGATCACAGAGATTTACAGCAAACCTTTTTCTCTTTGGGCCACCGACTGAGTGCCATATTTTAATATAACAATGACAACTTGTTACAATAAACCCAAACAGTGAACACACAGCACAACAGGATGAATTTTGAGCAGATTATTTAATCAGAGATGTTTTAGTTAACTCTAAATAAATATATATAAACTCTATATTATGTTTTTGTTTGTTTTTTCTCCTTGTTCTATCAGCTCTTTGGTTGTGTGAACTTTTCTAATACAGGATGAGGCTGTTTATCAGAGAGCTCTGTGAATACAGCTTGTGTTCAAGTCTTCAAAGTTTATATCTAAAATAATAATGTAAAACTTACATAGAAAAATAACAATTTAATTTAGTTTTATTCACAGAATTTAATTTAAAAAAAGCTGAGATATAAGCTGTGTGTATTTT